TATGCTGTGAATTCATTTAACTTCATGTAGACATATTAACATATGTAGATAATGAATTATTATCATCATTATTATTTTTACTTTAGGATGTGTGTCTAAGGATGGAAAAGTAATGTAGGATGTATTCTCTTCAACTCCAACTCCTCTGAGTTTTATGACCCATTGAGGGACTTCACTACCAGGCAGCTGTGGGTTTTATGGCCGCCTGCTTTATAGCTCGACAGAGGTTCAGATATAGGGTATGTTTGCAAAGATTATCTTTGCTTTACATGAAACGAAGGCGTGGAACACATAGGACATGTTTTTTTTTTTTTTACAATTCTTTCCAACTTCGGTACCTTGTTCTGCTTGTTCTTTCATCTTATCTCAGTGACACCATCGTAAGCTTGCGCAAGAAGTTTACACTTATTATACTGATCTGCTGTTCAGACCTCTCTTAAACTGCATCGTCAATAAAGCCGGCTGTAGTAGACAAGCTGAGAATGAATTCCAAGAATTGTTCTTCCACTGCGTGTTTTCTGTCTATATATACCATCAAAAGCACTGAGTCTGTGTAGAAATGCCTGGTTTCATATGATTAGATTGCTAAAATCATAGTCAATTTATCTTCCTCCATGATGTGTCTTCTGATGATGGATGCTACGCAATGCAGCAGTTCATTCTATATATATCGTCTTTGACATGCCTTTAAATGCTATAGCCAGTCCTAAGTGCACCTTTAAGACCTCGTCCAGTTATACCACAAAATATACCAGTCTACAAAAACTCCCAAGGTGTACAGAATGCCTTCATCCTTGCCTTGCAAAATGGACTCAAAACCAACATAAAACTTTACACAGACAATAAGTAAGCATAGGATATGGCGATTCTTGTTTACCTGATTGTCCTGTCAAAGCATAACTGTCCTGTAGCTCTCATACAACTGTGTTGAACTTTTTTTCTCCCAGAGGCTGCCTGTATTTGGCAGTTGTCCATATAGATCTTTAAGGTTAATTTTTCTTAATCTTTTCTGAAAGATGACGCATATGAATGTCACCTGTCTTTGTAAAGACAGGCTCCATGTTGGAATAGGACACAGGCGTGGCAGAAGTGGGCGTTAGCCCCGGGTGACCAGATGTCCCAGATTTCTGGGGAGAGTCCCCGTTTTGGAAAACTCAGACAAGATCTGCATGATCTCAACATGATGGAGTAAGAGAAAACCACCTATCTAATGTTTGTTTATTATGATGTTATTGATTCTAGCCCCAAATATTATCCAAAATAAAAATTAATTACCATTTTTAGTATTTAATCAGATGAGATAATAGTCATATGCTTTCCTGTTATACATTCTAATGTTGTTGGAAGTGATTTTGATTAATGTCTCTGTTTTACGAATAGCGTAAGACTGATAGAAGAGGAGAGAGAAAAAGAGACATCTTCAACATTCAGTTTTTTTTTATTTGTCCCCACACAAAATATTTCTTACATATACATTGCACGTTTGTTAAATTTTCCATCAAGAAAAGTTTTTTTTTTCCCAGGGTGTAATCAACTCTGTCCTATTACTTCTTATTCGTCCTTTTTGATCTGTTATGGTTTGATAAATGTGTATTGCTAAGGTGCAAAACTCTGGCAGAATCGCTTAGCAGTTAATAAGGCTTTACATTTTGGCACATTTTTACTGTGTACTGAAAAATTAGAGGCAGGTGAGATTAGTGAAGAGACGAAGCGCTGCCTTTAACATCCAGAATGCAGCCGTTTCTCAATATGTGTACTTGTGGGTTCTCATGTGCTTGTGTACTCGAAAAACATCATCAACCTCAGCCCTAGTACTGTTCCAATTCATGACCAAGAACAGACAAAGTTCCCAGATGTTGTTTTCGCCCCTCATTCTTAACTGAGTATGCATCAGAGCAGACTTGTCCATTCTCGAGATTGACAGCTGCTCCAGCATGCGCCGCAGGAGCAGCAGCTTCCAGGGGAGCACCCTCAGAGCTCAGAGTGTTTAGTTAAAAGATGTGTTGCCCTGGATCTGTTGCCGTGGTTCTATAAATGTACGTTTTAAGATCATTTAAGGCAATAACATTACACTTTTAAGTGCCACTATATGGCGCATTTACTGATTTAGTGCATAATTTCAAAAAAGTTCAGATGTTGAGAGGACCGCTGCAACCAGTGGACCTCCAAGACTAACCGCAGCCACGGCTAATTTTAGCCCATCTGCAGCAGCCCTCATCGACATAACTGTGTATGAAGGACTATTCAATTCAATTCAGTTTATTTCTATAGTGCCAATTTACAACACATGTCATCTCACGGCACTTGACTTTTCACCAGATCATACAGTCAGATTGATTCAAAGTTTTCTATCTAAGGAAAACTGGTTGATTGCATCGACTCATTGATACAAAGGCAATCCCTCACACTAAGCATGCTAGGAAGAAACCTCCAGCAGAACCAGGTTCAGTGTGAGGACTGGGGTTCAAGGAGACAGAAGGAGAGATACAAAAAGCAGCTGTAAAAGGCGGCCCTGTCCAGGAAACACACATCCAGGCAGACGAGCTCCGTCGGAGGATGAGGAGAGCACATCCAGCCAGTCACAGTCAGAGAAACAGGACTACACTGGAAAAACAGGCCGTTCTCAAACACTAATAAAACAAAGGTGTTGATGGCAGCAACACAGCTGATATTTCTCCCCATGATGGTTTCACAGCCAACAGGAACAGGCGAGGCAAAGCTACTAAGAGAAAAAGCAGAGAGAGCAGTTAGAGATTAAACTAACTGATTCTGCAGAGTGGGAGAATAGAGATAGAATGAAGCAGAATGATGAAATGGGGGTCCCTATGTCCTCCAGAAGTCTAAACCCATAGCAGCATAACTATAGAGTTAGCTCAGAATAACCTGAGCCACTCTAACTATAAGCTTTATCATAAAGGAAAGTTTTAAGCCTACCCTTAAAAGTAGACAGGATCATCAGAGTCAGGGTTTACCACTGACTCTGATGCTGTTTATTTTTATTTTTATTTTTTGGCAAAATGTTTATTTGATTTGTGTTTATCTGACTGTGTTCTAGAGACTGACACAGGAGTGGATTTTCACTCCTGTCCCGTCCCACTCCCACAGAAAAATATTGTGTCCCGTCCTGGTCCCGGGCCAGAGTAGAAATCTAAATCCTGTCCCATCCCACTCCTGGTGAAATTACTCCCGCTCCCATTCAGAATGACTCCCGCTCCTGCACCACTCCCATTCTTGTTGTCTTCAATAAGATTTCTGCCAATACATTGAATCTGAATTTCTATGAAGGGTCAGTTAAGTTCCTGTTTCTATCTGTAGTAACTTTTGGTCCCTCCATTGTTGTTTTTGCGCGCGGGTGAAAAACTCAGAGCGGAAGCACTGTTGGTTTTTGGGTTGTGTAGTTTTTTTGACTCGCATTATAGTGTAGGCTTCAAGGAAAAAAACTACAAAATGGCGGCGCCAGTACTGGATTTTTTTTCTTTTTATTTTATTTTATTTTTTGGCATCGATCCTAGTTATTTTTAGTTACTATTGGTTTGCTCCCGCTCCCGTCTGCTCCTGTTAATGTTTAATCCTGTACCGTCCCAATCACGTGATCATTACTAATACTGACTCCCATCCCACGGGATTCCTGAAAAAATGTCAGTCTCTACTATGTTCACTATTATTATTCCCCCACTAAATGAAAAAAGTAAGAACTTATTTATATCTAGACACTATTAATAACAGGAGGTGAAATGCAGCTCCAGACGAGCTGAGCGTGTGGTGACATCAAAAGTATGCTTCTGGGCCAATTGACCAATATTTATCCTGTGTGCTCCCGTTCCCCTAGAGTCCATACTTTCCTGTGTTCTTTTCAAGAACAGACTTGGCGAGGACCATACTCGCATTCTTGTGAATTGAGAAGCCACCTGCATTTGAGAAAGACCAGATGTTTGCTACAAAGCCAACCTGAAGAAATGACTCACAAAAAAAGGTTCCGCCCCCCAACCCTGCAGCTTCCCCAACCCATTAAATCCAGGAAACACTAAATACAGGTGAAGTAATGTAGTTGGAGTAGTTGGAGTATTATAAAATAAAATTTTACCTTTGAGAACATTTAATAAAACAAATACAAAAAACTTACAACTAAGAAAAAAAACAATCTGGTGTAATTTCAAGGTACATCACACTAGCTATCCTACCCATTCATACCATCTCCAGGAAGGTCCGGAACTGTGTGATCTTCCTGCTTTAGTTAACACCTACTTGATACTTAAATTTGGTTTGGTGGTCTCAATTCTTTAATAGCGAATTAATCAAACTCACTTCATCAATGGCATGGTAGTTCTCTCAAAGAGACAACAGAATTTCAGTTACCAGTATTAATCAAGCCCTCAGCAGTGCTTGTGACAAAATCTCATTGGGGCAGGCCTTCCCAGAGCCCATAGAAATAAACTGCTGTATCCAAAGTTTGAGGAAAAGACACTTGACATGATAGTGTATAGAGACACATTTCAATTCAACTGAAATCACCCTAAGAGGTCAGGGCATGTGGTTGGAAGTCACAGTAACACACTCAGCAAAAGAAGTACCAAATTGTACCTTCTGTCATGGTCTTGGCACTGATGGTTGGCTTTTTCATTTGCTACTGCTCACCTGTCTAATTGGTCAGGTGGCTTATTAACGCAAATCGTTTACACCTGGTTCCCTCATCTTCTTATGTTGTTTGCCTGCCTAAAACCAGTGCCCTATTATTTGAGCTGTGGTGAGAGTAACTCTAGCATCAAATGAGTTTTGTCTGCAATACTGATTCTGACTTGTTTCTCATTTTGGATATTTGAGTTTTTGCCTTGCCCTTGTCTGCTCTGTGTGTTGTTATTTTGTTCCGTTTTCCTAGTTTCTGCTGGTTACCGATCCTGGACTGTTTCACTGACCTCGGTTTGGATTGCCCTCACTGACACCGTTGCTCCTTCAGCGTCGGCTGGCATCAGCTCATCATCACTAGGGGCTCTGGAAGAGGCCATGGCTGCAAATGGTGGACAATCTCCCTCCCAGATTCTTCCCTCTACTCCGGGAATAACGGCTGCCGAGAATTCGGTTATCTGCCCTGCTGATGCCCAGTTGCTTGCTGTGTTCTTTTGTTAAAAATAAAGCTTGTTGAAAATTGTCCTGGTCTGCCTGTCTGAATATTGGATCCAAGTTTATGAGGTTATTACACCTTCTGGGTACAAGGGCTTGTCACTTGGTTAGTACCCTCCAACCTCCTACTTTGGAACCCTCAACTGTTGGTACTTACTGCATCTGTACCCCTATAAATTGTACCTCATAAGTTAGACTTGTACCTTTGGTGGTCATCGTGTACCCTATTAGAAAAATAAAAAAACATATATAAATTCATCTATCCATCTTCTCCCTCTTACTTCCCCAGAGTAAGGTGCCTGTCTGCGATAGTCTATGTGCAAAAGGCAGGGTATACTGTGGACAGGTCGTCAGTCCATCACAAAGCAGCAAAGAGACACACAACCATGGACACACACTCACACCTAAGGACAATTTAAGGATGCCAACTAACCTAACACTCCATTTTATAACTGTGAGTAAAAATTGCCAGGTCCCGGACTCAGTGATCACGAAGAAAAACATTGCTTTTATTTTTTTACAGATTAATTGCATATTCATTAAAGCACCGCAAACTTATTAGTTTTAGGTATATAATGACCCCCCACACCTGTGGCTTGTTTGGTCATTACCTCCAGAGGAGTATATAAGCAGCGGACTGTCATCACCTTGACGCCAGAGTGTTTGCCAGTATTGGGTACCTCTCTAAGTTAAGCTGAGTCTAACCTTCTGAGTTTTTGTCTCTCCGGGTTTAAGGATTTAACCTTTTGTCTTGTTTGTGATTCTCCGGCAGGATAACTTCCTGATCCACTGGATAAGCCTGGTCCTTCTACCCCTTGGAAGGAAATATTCTTCTCTTTGAGCAAGGGGAAATCTTCATCTGATCAGTTCAAGCCCTCCTCAAAAAAAAAATTGATACAGTCCGGTCCACTGCTCCTCTGGACCCACCAAAAGTCTGCCTGTCTGCCCTCCAACTAAGTAACCTCCATTTCTGGACATCCTCTCCACAAACTGGACCTAAGGATCAACCAAAGACAATTTTCAGTCAGTCAAATGAAGCTAATCATCTTCTTCGGCCGATTTTCCTATGGACCATGAACTCACCATTTCTGATCTACCTCTAGAGTTTCCGGTTCCGGTTCACCAGTCCGCTGCATACTTCCTAGCTGACTTCCCTCCTGTATTATCTCTCTCTGAGTTTTGTCACATTCAATAAATTGTTAACTTTTCCCATGCCGTGAGTAGTTTTCTGCATGGGGGCAAGACATCTGAAACCCAACACGACAACAGTCTTATTTTTGTCTATCATTTTTCTATTTTCACTTTGTCCATCTTCTTAAAGCATAACCTAAAAGTATAAATAAAGAGTAGGTATATGTACCATTTACTACTTGGGAACCAAAATGTACCTTTCAGGCCCATAAAAAGGACAGATATGTGCCTTTAAGTTCATGTGCCCTATAGGGGTACAGATGTACCTCAGGGAACAGAATTGCACTCATCCTGCACCCTGTGGGCATTTCTCAATATGCGTTCTTGAGCGTTCTCGTGTGCTCGTGTACTCGTGACACGTCATCAGCCTCAGCCAGAGTACCGTTTCAATTCTCGAGAACGCAACAAATCCCCGGATGTTGTTCTCGCCCCGCCCTCTTTATCGAGCATGCATCAGAGCAGACTTATGCGTTCTTCATACTGACCGCTTCCCCAGAATGCCCCGCGGCCACAGCTTGATTCGAGACAGCGCTCACAGTGTTAAGTTAAACATTCCCTTTTCTGCTGCTGTTGTTCTTCAAAAGTACGTTTTTAAATCGTTTGAGGTGATAACATTATACATTGAAGCCTCCCTGTGTGGTCTGTTTACAGAGTTAGTGCGAAATTAAAAAAAAAAGACGTTGACCGGACCAGAGTGACCAGCAGACCTCCGAGGGTAACCGCAGCCAGGGCTAAATTTACCCCGTCTGTAGTGCACTTCTCTCGGTCTAGTTATGTGTGAACTACCGCTCGTTCTGATGGCGGTTTTTCGTTCGGTAATTTTTTTTTATGTTTTTTAAGCTTTAAAAATTAAAAATATTGTTTTCAAAATGTTTTGTGTAGGGAATAAATAGTTTTGACTGTTAAAGAAATGCTAAAGAACGTTGCATGTGATGACGTCACGAGTACGCTTCTGTTCCAATACACATACGTGCTTGCGTGCTCGCGTTCTCGTCAAGTCAGATCTTCCTGTGTTCTCGCCAAGAACGGACTTCACGAGAACGCGAGTACGTACTCGCGTTCTTGTGAATTGAGAAACGCCCCGTGTTTAGAGTGAGGCTCATATATGTCACAGCAATATTCAGGTTGTATAATGGAGCATGTTATTAAGACTTAAAAAAGCGAGATAGACTTCATTCTGTACCTTTTTCCCCCGATTATGTCTATAAGCTTATGTTTCTTTATTCTTGCAAGTACGATGATAAAGCTGACAAGGTGAATCCTTATTGATCAGTTCTTGATATGTATTTAATATCCAATAATATTTGCATTCAGGTAAGTAATTAAATTCAGTGTAGAGTGAGTTACTGTGGATGCCTTATCTGTTTAAGAAAACCCGACTTAAATCTTTAGACCTGTTTCTATGGGTCCATCCTTCCATCCTTCCATTTTCCTTTATGCTTATCCCTGCTGGGGTCGCGAGGGGCACCGGTGCCTATCTCCAACTGTTAATGGGCAAGAGTGTACACCCTGGACTAGGGGTGTCAATCACATCCATCATGGCGATTCAATTCAGTATCGATTTCCTACTACTGTATACTCAAGAATACACCACGATACGATTCGATTCAATTAATTGGCTCATTTTTTTTTTTTTATTACAAAAAATTTGTAATAAATCAATGAAAGCTGTAATATCGTTATGCATTTTTTTTTAGAAACAACAGCAAATAACAGAAGTAGAAAAGTTGCACTCAACCTATTCCTATTAAAACCTCATTTACTGAAAAATAATAATGCCCCTGCATTATAGATTCTGAAAGGCCTTCATCACAAAATACTGCACAAATCAGTGCAATGTGTGCAATTCAATAACTCGGCTCCAGACGTCCCGTCCCCTCCACAGACGCTCCGCTGCAACTCTCCCAAATTGTAGCTGACCGCAAACAGTGCCGCAGACAGGAGGCCGGCTTGTTTTGTTTTTATGACCTAAATTGCGGAAAACAACTCGTGAAGTTTGACCCGCTAGAAGAGCGAGGTGCGCGAGAACGCTGGGACCCTTTTTCCACCTGGATCTTCGCTCTTTTTGGCCCTCATGTCCCTCCGTTGTTGGACTAAACTCTCCCCCACTTCCTCACCGCCTCGGCCATATCTAGACCCACAGTGTGTAGCACAGACCACGCTTCAATATTGAGCATAATTTAAAAATGTCTGTGTCAAGCTTGCTGCAACACACTGCTGTAAGTGTATAACCAGGAAGCGAGGTAGGAGGGCTCCCTCCCGTGCTGCGCCACCACAGCACGGGAGGGAGAATTACGTCCAGGAGCAAATCGATAAAAATAGACCGGAGGGAAAAAAAACATGAATCGATACTCTTGCGGACGTATCGATGTATCGGATCGTGGGCTGTTGGATCGATGCATCGATACAAAAAGATTATTATTTACACCCCTACCCTGGACAGGTCGCCAGTCCCTCGCAGTGCAACACAGAGACAAACAGGACAAGCAAGCATTCACGGGCACACCCTTGCCTAAGGAGAATTTTGAGAAGTCAATTCACCTCACAGTCATGTTTTTGGACTGTGGGAGGAAGCCGGAGTGCCCGGAGAAAACCCATGTATGCTCAAGGAGAACATGCAAACTCCATGCAGAAAGACCCACTGCTCCACTGTGCAGCCCAGTTCTACGGGTACAAAATGTAATGTTATAAACATATTTAAGATTTTCTAATCCCCTTTACCAAACAACTTATTCTTGTCATCTTTCATATGTTTCCATAAACCAAAACTCTCTCTGAAAGTAACACCAATTCCCCCTAATTTGATTTATATGAAAGAATAATGACTCAGGCTTTAAATAACCATTTTTTATTGAACAGATTATATTATCGATATAATGACATTTTAATATAAATCAAAGTGTTTTTTTGGATTAATAGCCCCCAACCAAATGTAGTTCCACACAAATCCCTCAAAATTATCCTCCTGTTTTCAGCAGGGGGCAGGATGCAGACTCTTCATTACCTGTAAACCTGAAAAGAAAAGTAATAGAAATCGTTTTAAGGACCACATGTGGGATAGGTGTTACATTTGATCTACTGCTTGTGTCCCATTCTTTATGATGCTGCTATGACTACAGGTCATATTGCCAATGCCAATGAGTACACTGTAGATTGCCATCTTTATAGGTTATCATTACATTGTAAAAGTAAACATCCTGTTTTGACAAACTCTATTTTACAACTCTCTGCTATATTGAAATGTTTCTCTTATAAATATTTATCATTAGATTTCATATTTAATGATTTTCATGAATCAATAATTCCACACTTTAGAAGTTGTTACGGTCAATCCTGTCTTGCTTCATCTGGGTTTTGGCCTTCTCTTTCTGCAGGAGCACGTGTTCAGCAAACTCCCTCACTGCTCCCATCCCACCAGCTTGGCGGCAGGTGTACTTGGCAGCATCAGTGGCATCCCTCGGAGCATCAGCGGGTACTCCGCTCAGACCTGCCAGGTTAAGACAGGCTGCATCTGCTGTGTCATTACCTGACAGGAAAGGGGGGGATGAATTCAATTAAGATGCTTTCTTATAGAACGCAGACTTGCAATATTTTAAGTTATTCAGCCGGTACAGAATAAAACTTCTTCACTTAAAAACCACATTATTTTATATTTTTTTGACTCACTGAAATAGTGGCTCAAATTTTTCCTTTGACTAGGCCATTCCATTAAAGGAGAAGTTCACTTTTTAACACTTTAAGCCCATTTTCTATAGTGTCCAGGATGAAATCGAATGATCGACACCAAAATTTTGACAATTGCTCCTGTCTCTGCTTTTTGGCTCATTTAGAATCCACCCCTGGCTGCTTTAGAATGGCTTCCATAGAGCATGTCCGATAATGTCCTTAAAACAACCTTAAACGTTCTTTTTTTAAAATATGCTACTCACCGGGTCGTCAGCGCTGTTCAATGACGTTCCAAAAAAAGTTTCGTGAAGAAAAAACGTTCCTGTAGTGTTTTATTTAGCATTTTGTAAATCCCATTGAGTTCTGTTGGAATAGTCAATATTCCCCTGCCACCGGAAACGGAAATGGGGCCTGTTTACACAGTTGTAGTCTTTTCGCTTCACTCTGTGTACTCCGACGTCGAGGTGCTAACGTCTCTGTTAAACACTTTAAAAAACTCTGAAAATGGAATACGAAAGGTGGATTCTTGATTCTCGACGTCGGAGTACACAGAGTGAAGCGAAAAGACTACAACTGTGTAAACGGCCCCATTTCCGTTTCCGGTGGCAGGGGAATATTGACTATTCCAACAGAACTCAATGGGATTTACAAAATGCTTAATAAAACACTACAGGAACGTTTTTTCTTTACGATACTTTTTTTGGAACGTCATTGAACAGCGCTGACGACCCGGTGAGTAGCATATTTAAAAAAAAGAACGTTTAAGGTTGTTTTAAGGACATTATCGGACATGCTCTATGGAAGCCATTCTAAAGCAGCCAGGGGTGGATTCTAAATGAGCCAAAAAGCAGAGACAGGACCAATTGTCAAAATTTTGGTGTCGATCATTCGATTTCATCCTGGACACTACAGAAAATGGGCTTAAAGTGTTAAAAAGTGAACTTCTCCTTTAAATGACAGCTTGGTTTGAGCCATTCTACGTTAGTTCAAGTTAATTGTCCTGCTGCGAAGTAAAACTTACG